AGGGGGGGGAGAGGGGGGGGAGAGGGGGGGCCCCCCCCCCTGTGGGGGGGGGGGGGGGGGCATAGCAGAGCAATGCTATACAAGCAGTTTCCTTTGGAAGCGCCTTTGCATGCAGCTGGTGTACAAAAGCAGCTCCTTTTCACACTGTGATGCGTACAGGAGGAAGTTTAAAATAAGAGCAAGACAAGTCAGGGGAGAAACATGCAAATGAAAACAGTGCCGCTGTTCGCCGCGGCTGCTGGCCGCTGTCCCGGGCTCAGAAGGGCGACAGGAGGCGCTGTACCATCACGGCCGGTCCCAGGGTCAGCAGGAGGTGTCCTGCCTGCTGGGGGGCGCTTCCACTCTTTGGTGGGGTCTTTGTCGTGGTCGTGGTCATGGCCGTGGTCGTGGGTATGGGTTGAGAGTCTCTTACGACGACCATACTGCAAATCAGCATGGCCACCAACAGCAACAGAAAGCCTGCTTTCGTCTTATGTCAGTTCAGCCTATTGGGGGGGCAGTATGATATTCATTACAGCTCTTTCTGCTACAGCCTCTGCTTAAGGATATCCATTTTGTTTCACCTGAATAGCGCTACTTAGGGCTGGGCGACATCATATCGGTATTATATCACGCATGCGCAATAATCACCAGGACTTCAGATGACGGACGAAGCATTTGGCTGGATGCCAGCTTTTCGGTGCTATACGGACATTTATTTACGCCCATAATTTGGTAAGAATATTAGTAGTATGGCTTAAATATTAATGAGATGCGTTTTGTTAATGATCTGTATAAACTTTGTTTCTTAAATTCGATTAGCGGAGCACACCACATAATACTGTTTTGGTATACTACGGTTTGGTATAGCTCAGTGCAATATGCGCTGAAGTCGCGGTGAAGAAGAGCAGCCACATCATCTTTTAAAAGAGGAGATCTTGTGGATAAACAAAGTAAAAAGACGTCGGCGGTGTGGTGGAACTTTTTGCAGTTCAAAGTCTGACACATTTCTTAAACATAAGGATATTTATATCGTATTTATAGTGATAATGACTTTTGGCCGTCATACAAAGCCTCATTAATATTTTAGCCATACTACTAAACTGCTAACAAATTATGGGCGTAACTAAATGTCCGTATAGCACCAAAACGCTGGCACTAGGCCAAATGTTGTGCCTGTCATCTGAAGCCCTGGTGATTATTGCACATGCGCGATGCAATATCGATATATCGCCCAGCCCTAGCGCTACTGAACCCCCCCCCCTCCAAAAAAGCAAAGCAGAATGACTGATGTCACTCACCTCTTGTGCCTGGTGGATGAGAATGATGAGATTGACAGAGTCCCTCCGTTCGGTCCCGGCTGAGTCGAGAATGCATGAACGCGCCCTTTTTAATGCGCTCGTGATCCCTGCCTCCCTGCGTTGGTGTGAACCAGGAAGTCCCGCCCCCTTTCCCTCCCCAGCCACTAACAGTCTGGGTCCCAATTTAAACTTCCGCTGGTTTTCTTTCTCTGTTTCTTGCCTTGGTTCTCTCCTGAGTTCTGACCCTGGCTTGAGGTCTGGTCATGGTCGTCACGGCGGTCATGGTCATCACGGTCGGTCATGGTCGTCACGGCGGTCATGGTCATCACGGTCGGTCATGGTCGTCACGGTCGGTCATGGTATTGCAAATCAACTTGGCAGCAAACAGCAGAAAGCCTCATTTGAGGGTGTCATCCTATGTCAGCTCATCCGATTGGGGTTGGGGGGGGGGTGTGGTAATGGATTTTATTACAACTGTCTCTCTGCCACTGTAACTGCTTTTTTTTTTTTTTTTTTTGCTTGTCATCCCTGTCTCTGTGTATGAGGCACCGAACAACTGCACAAAAGCTGAGCAAAAATTGAGAGAATGTACCTAAGAGATATGGGAATGTGCGGGACAGAGTGTTATTTTTCTGCGCGACAAACGATTCCACGCGAGAGATGTTGAAAGTGTGTGCAAGCTAAAGGTTTTGTTTTCCGTTCTACCAGGTAATTTGTTTAGTAATTACTGATTCTGATTGGCTGCAGAGGCTTCACACCTGGCTCACTCGTATAGCCCTGGTACATACTCTATCAGTTTCTGCTTCTTCAGAAATAAACAGAACCCCTGGTACATACTCTATCAGTTTCTGCTTCTTCAGAAATAAACAGAACCCCTGGTGCATACTCTATCAGTTTCTGCTTCATCAGAAATAAACAGAACCCCTGGTACATACTCTATCAGTTTCTGCTTCATCAGAAATAAACAGAACCCCTGGTACATACTCTATCAGTTTCTGCTTCATCACAAATAAACAGAACACACGCCAACCAGATTTCTGAAGAGGCTTGTCCTTTGTAGCCTATGTAATGTGTGTGTGTGTGTGAGAGGATTTTTTTGTATTAATAATCATATCACTTTGGGGTAATGGTCACTTAAATTAAGAATGTTAAAGCAGCAATATGCAATAGTTTGCTACTTTGTGAGGTATGATTTATAAGTGACTACTTTTAGGTATCATCTTCAAATTTATTTAGATCATATCTGATTTATAAGGACCGATAAGCTCGCCTGTTATTCCCTCCAGCCACCCAGGCTGTGCACTATGTAGTTCTGTGGTCCTAGTTGAGGTTTGACAGTAGCTGCTGCCAGCTAAAACAACATGTCTTATGCTAGTAAGCTTTTGTCAGTCCTAAGTGTGGTGCTGTTGGTATTGGTTGGTTTTTGCTTGCCTTTAAGATAGTTAGTTAGCTCGCTAGCTTTCCAGCCAAACTCCTGATGTGATTCTTTAGAGTTGAGATTATGAAAGGGAGTGTGAGAATGGGCAACAGAGGAAAGGGACGTAGAGAGGGAGCAGTAAGCATGCTTTTCCACTACTTGATTTAATTTATTTGTTCTTTATTATTTATTCTGTATTAATAATTAGTTTTTGCTGGTGTCAGACTGGTTCTCGGTTTCTCTCACAGATTTTCAGCATATTTCACGTGGAACTCTCTTGCACACAATACTAACTGTCTGTCGCGTACATTGGCTCGCGCACGGTGAGTCGTCACGCAATGCGCGCATTCATTTCCTCTGCCGATTTTCGCTCGGCTTTCGTCAAATTTGGCGCCTTGTATCTGTGCGCTCTACCATGTCCTGGATGTCCTCCCACTGGAACATGCCCAGAGCATCCAGGAGCATCCTAGCCAGATACCCAAACCACTTCAGTCGGCTCCTTTCGATGCGGAGGGGCAGTGACTTCCGAATGTCTGAGCTCCTTACCCTGTCTCTTTGGCTGAGCCCAGACACCCTGCGAATGAATCTCGTTTCTGCCTCTCGTGCAGTGACTGCATTTTTTCGGTCACTACCCAAATCTAGTGACAATAGGTAGGAACGTAGATCGACCAGTAAATCGATAACTTCACCTTTTCACTCAACTCTCTCTTCACCACGACTGAACAGTACAGTGTCCGCATTACTGCCGACACTGCACTGATCTGCCTGTCGGTCTCCTGCTTCGTTCTTCCCTCACTCCTGAACAAGACCCCAGGATGCTTGAATTCCTCCACTTGGGGCAGTAACTCATCCCCAACCTGGAGGGGGCAGTCTACCTGTCTCTGGTTGAGAACCATGACTTGGGTGATCCTTGCATTCCTCCCTTAAAACGTGAATTTTATTGTTCAAGTTAAGCTTACTTTAAAGAAATGCAGTCTTACTGTAACTTTAGATATGCGTGTAGAGTTTCCTGATAGAGGATCAGTTTATGCTCAGAAAGCTAACAGAAGTAAGGTTAGCCCTTAATGGGTTTGTGGTTAATACATAAATCTGCTGTAAAAGAGAGCTGATAAGGGGTAAACACAGATAAGGGGTGAACATCATATTATAAACTGTATTATACATCCATTGTAAATCATTCCAGAGAAATAGTCTTGGGAGGGATTTATTAGGTAATAATTTGCTCCGTGGTTTGCCTTGAGCTTGGTATTGAACCTTAGTTCATTATAACCTGGTTGCAGGGGTTTTTTTAAGTGTTTTGAATGTTTCAAATTTATTCTTGTTTGTGTTTTTGTTTTGTTTTGTTATCATTCACAGCTATTTGATACATCCCAGAAGGCTAAGCTGAATGTGTGTCTGCTTATTGGGCTGTTAATTAAGCCACACATGTTTGATGTGTAGTCCTCTGCTTTTGTGACTATAGCGTGGGGGAAATTTTTAAGTGCTGATGTTTAATTACAGCCAGCAACTGAGTCATGTATTTGAATATAAACAGTAGTTTAAAAAAAAAAAAGGAAAAAAAAAGAATCAGGGCTAATAATCATAGTCCGCTTGTTAGCGCCACTGCAATTAGTGCCCAGTGTCCTTGAGTTGGATGGCACTTTCCTGAGTGGGTCGATTGCACCACCCGGTGGCAACATGAAGGAAGTGCAGGACAGCCTGAGGGCAGCACAGCGTCGTGGAATGTGCGGTAAGGTGTGGAGGTTTTTGGGCCAAGGGATCTCGGTGTGTATATCAGTGCCTGTTAGTTCCAGCTGAGGAGTGAGCTGGCGGAGCCCGTCCTTTCGGGAAGGAATTACAGCACCTGTGGGCCTGCTTACATTTGTCCTGTCGTTCCTGTACCTGTCCGACAGCCTTCGGCTGAGCCCCTTAAGGGCCAGCGATCGATCGCTCGGGGAAGGGCAGCGAGGCCTTTAAAGACTAGGTCAGCATGCAGTATTACACGGGGGGGGGGCGTTCAGTGTCATAGACATCGGACAATTATTCTCTTGTTTTTATCTGCCCGCTTGTTGATGCTGAATTCAGCCAGTGTGCCTCTGTAACACATTATTAATTAGCTGCAGTGTTTACGACGGAAGCGTTTAGCCTTACGGACGCACTTCTCTGGTTGTGCTTCCCTTCCCCACCCCTGTGGTCCTATGGACCATTCCCCTGTAACCTTAGTATTAGCACCTAATGCCCCCTTAAAGGGGTGGGGTGGGGGTCTCGCACGTGTTTTCATGCCACAGAACCAAGAGATGTCTCTCTGAATCATGCACAATGGAAAGTACACAATGCAGAAGTGTTTTTTTTTTTTTTTAAACTGTATATTATATAAACCATAAAATGCTGCAGTATCCTTCAGTGGACAAGCATAGTTCGGAGGGAGGAACATTCCCTTTGCACACAGGACTGCTGTTAGTGTTGCTTTACACGTAATATAGGTTATTTATATCGATGTGTCTGCACAATATAGCCATCGCCTATATGGGCTACACTCTGCGGAAGGCGGTTGGTGTGTTGGAAGCAGTTACAGATGCATACAGTATCAGAGGCAGTAACAGTCGTACAGTATTTTAAAATGAAAACTCAATTTAAGAAGTTGGTACTACTATTTCATATGCCATTTAGTGTCTGGAAGTTCTGGCAATTTCCGGCAAGGGTTCAGAAGGCGCTGAGGATGGTGGCTGTGAGGAGGATGCTGGCGGTGACGGTATGCAGGTCCAGCGCGCTGAGGACCCGACCTGTGCTGCGCGCGCCGTTGGGCCTGGTCTTCTTGGTGCTGCGGGTACGGACCGTTGTGCTTATCTGCGTGGAGATGGGGCGGGGGGTGCCCGTCGGGGGCACGGGGGTGCCGGCAGCTTCTCGGTCTGCAGGAATTCCACTCCAATCTGGGGCCGAGTCGAGCGGCGCCGATTTGGACAGGTGCCCCGACGTGATGGCCTGCATGGGCGGTCGGCTGGCATCGCGGGCGTCGGCGCTCTGTGGGGGCTCCGTGTACGAGGCGTAGTGCCAGCCGTGGCCCGTGCTGGCCAGGTGGGCCTCGCCGCAGATGTGCCGGGTGGAGCAGGGGCAGCCCAGCACCCGGGCGGAGGTGTGCTCCATCCAGGCCTGGAGGTCGGTCATGTTCTCCTCATCCTCGCAGGCCCAGGGGTTGTCGTAGAGCGTGATGAGTTGTAGGTCGGCCAACTGGGCAAAGGCCTCCTCGCCTACGGCCGAGAAGCGGTTCCCATGTAGGTAGAAGCGGGCCAGCCGTGGCAGGCGGTCCAGTGAGCCGGGCAGGATCTGCATCAGATAGTTGTGCGACAGGTCCACCATCTCCAAGTTGTAGGGCATGTTGGTGGGCACTGTCCAGAACTTGTTGTGGCTCAGGTTGAGCGAGCTCAGGCTGGCCAACGTGTTGTTGATGAAGACCACCCTCTCCAGCTCATTTGCCGACAGGTCCAGTGCCCGCAGGTTCCAGTGGTAGGCCGTGTCGTTCTTGTGCAGCTGCCGTAGACTGTTCCCTGCCGCACGGATGTCCCAGAGGGCACGCGGTAGAGCGCCTGGCAGCCGCGGCAGCTGGTTATGCGAGATGTCCAGGATGCGCAGGTGTGCGAAGTGGCTCAGCCGCCCGTCCAGGTCGCGGAGCCGGTTGTGGGACAGGTTGAGCTCGCGGATGTTGTGCTGAAGCCCTTCAGGCAGGTGGGTCAGGCCGCGGCCGGAGCAGTCCACAGTCCGGTGGCCTCGCGAGCAGGAGCACATGGACGGGCACACAGCCAGCACGCGGACATCTAGGAGGAGCAGCAGCAGGATGCTGGTCGTCCAGGCGAACGGGGACATTGTCGGGGCTCTCCTGTTGAACAAAAATGGGTCTGGGGGCAATCAGGTGGTCTAGAGAACGCGGACTCCTCTCAGCTCAACTCAACTTGGCTAGTACTTATTCATCTCGATACTGTCAAAGTAGGCTAAACCAGAGTTCTACATGGTATACAAGACCCCACCCCCTAGATCAATAACTATGTCAAGTTCAACATGTAGAATCTCAATTTTGAATGTTTCTGTTGGCGCCCCCTTGTGGCAACTAATGGTGAGATTTAACCCTGAATTTTCTCAGACGTCTACAGTGTTAGAGGTGGCAGGTCCACAGGCAGCAGGGAACACACCGCAGTCCCAGGACTGCTGACGGTTCCTCTTGCAGTTCCTTTCTGAGTCCACATGGCAGTCTGCAGTGTCTCCCAGCTCCCGTCCCGCAGCGGGTGCTGCACAGCCGTGCACATGGCTGTGCTGCATCACTGCATACACCCTCCCCCTCTGTCAAATGCTGCTCCTGTCCTCTCTCGCACGCTCACAGACAGGCACCTGGAATCAGGGACAGGTGGGGCACCGACACCCCCCCCCCTCCCACCCACTCCCAGTCTGAGGCACACAGCTGGCAACATGGCGCCTCTCAGTCAGTCAGGCAAAGAGCATGCAAATCACAGCGATAAGGCTCCTCGACCGGAACTCTGCGCCACCGGCCCCCCGTCATACATCTGTTACCCTATGTCGCTTTGCGGTACCATCATTAGCTATGTGACATGATTACGGGATTTTTACATATATCTATATTTTTTGAGCCTGTCCCCCTTTGGCAAGGAAGCGGGACTCGGGCGATCTGTGTCCGGCATGTTTGTGTGTCCCCCCCCCCCCCCCCCATCGAAACGACCATCGAGGCTCCCGCTGGCCAAATTCAGGGATGAAATCGGCTGAACGAACGGAAGAATTCATGCCGGACGACAGAGGGGTGGGGGCCTGGGAGTAGGGGGAACCTTGCGGTTTTCCGCCGCGGAGGGGAATCACCCCTGGTGCAGTGTTCCGGGCAGCCGTGCCAGGGACTCGACCACGCCGGCACTCTGAATGGGAGCGTGTGTTGAGCTGGGTGTGGTCCTGTGTGTCTTTCCATCCATGTTGTAAATAACTCACCTTATAATCTTCATGGCTGTGCAGTCATCGCTCTCCCCTTCCTCTGGCTCGCTTGCTCTCTCTCTCCCCCTCTCCTTCCCTCTTGCTCGCTCTCTCGCTCGCTCTCTCGCTCTCTTTTGCTTTCTGGAGCAGCAATAGTGGATCTTTGCAGAGTGAACAATCAGTGTGTTCTTTTTTTTCCCCTCTTCCTCTTTCTCGCGTTCCTTCTTTCTTTCTTTCCCTCAGTATTCCTTTCTTGGCACTGGGTTCCCCTCAGTATTCCTTTCCTGGCATGGGGTCTCCTGTTTCCTCCGGTAGTGTTTGGGGGTGACAGGAGGAGGAGGAGGAGGAGGGGGGGGGAAGTGGGGTCTCTCTCACGGACTGCGTCTCTCTCTCACTCTCTCTCTCACTCTCTCTCTCACCCCTTGCCTGGCGGCTGCTGGCCCCCTGTCATGGCCGCCCTGCGTCTCCCCCGCCGATGCCGGCTTCTGCCTGCTCTGCAGGCTCCTCAGTGCTCCTCTCACAGCGTTTCTGTGGGTAGTTGCGGAGCAAGCGAGCGAGGGAGTGAGAGAGAGACTGATGGAGGGACGCAGCATAGGGACGGCCTCTTCTGCTGCTGGGGAGGGTAGGGGTGAGGTTGTTGGGAGGGGGGGGGGCTGCTGACTCAAATCTTTTATGATCTGGATCTGCTCACTCAACGAATCTCTCTCTCTCACACACACACACACACACACACACACTCCCATGATGCTTCTGTAATTTGTAAAATACACACAAAGACACTGGGGTCTGAGAGACAGGGGGATGACTAACACCCCCCCCCCCTGGGGGGCGGGGGGGACTACGGACTCTGAGCTGGTCTCCTCCACCCCCACCACCAAGTCGCAAGCATATGACTCCTAGAGGTAGGTGTCGGCATTTCGGGGAACGTCCTGCTGCACTGTGTGACGGATCCGTTCGGAAACAGGGCCTTCTTGTGCAGACAGCGGCCGCCTGTCGTGCCTTTGACGTGGGCTATCGATCTCCGTCTCTCCACACACGTTGCTCGGGGTCGCAGGACAAACAGCTGTGCAATAGTGAGGCTGCCTGTTTTTTTTCTCTTTTTTTCTTTTTTTGAGGGTATCGAATTGAGGATTCCCCCTCGTGCCCAATGGCTTATTATAGACTGCATAATATGAGCGGATAATTTATAATTAAGCTCTGTGCTTAATTATAAATTATCTATGCTTTTATTAAAATAATTTGTTTTACTCGACCACCATCTCAGGAACTTAATGGCGGCTTATCGGTCTGTTCATACCCTCTCTGTGACTTGCATCATCTGCATGGCTGCCAGTCGCACAGCGGCAGGTGAGTCCCAATGTGTCAGCCACCTGTGATTGAAGAAGGTAAGACAGAGACTGGGAGCGGCGACTGTTTCACTTTCGACCAAAATGAAGACCTGAAGAACCTCAGCTACCTCTGCTTCTGCATTCGCGTTTCACTTGGAAGTCGCCCTTGTGGGTGCGCGGCCCAGCCGGTTAGACCCTTGCGCCAGTGATCAGAAGGTCAGCGGTTTGGGTCTCGGCAGAGTAGAGTCACATGTCCGTCGGGGCCTTGAGAATGGCCCTTAACACCCCCTCCCTGAAATTGTCCAGGGGTGGCAGACAAATAGCTAACCCTGTGCTCGGACCCCAGGCGTCAGTCACAAATGTGCATAAGTGTATCTGTACCAAAGAAGCATGCTGGTCAATCTGTACTCGTACTTATGCAGATGGCAGATGAAGCATCATTTCATTTCATATGTGAGCCACACCGCTTGAAGATGGATGGAGATGCCATGTGGTTTTATACTGTAGGGAACTTACTAAATCTCTCTGAGATTTAGTAAGTCTAAGGATCAGTTCCTCTTTTCAATTGTGCAAATTGAGGACCCTTAGAACTATAAAAATGTCGGTGGGTGCTGGTTTGCAGTGATAGCCCCGGATGGTGTGATTGGCACGCAGATATGCCGGATGATGCCGGGCCATGCAGCCGGGCCAGGACCTGGTTAGACAGAGGTCCTCTGGAGCGATCAGGAAGGAATGATTACGAAGGACGTCGCCGGCATGTGGAGACTCTGTGCTGGGCGCGTTTTGTTTCAACCAACCGGCTGATTACTCTGTGACTCTTTAAACTCAACTGGTTGGTTGAAACAAAACCTTGGCCTGGATCTGAATTTCTGGATCTGAAATTTCCACCTCTGGTTTAAACAAAGTGTTCAGTCCCTATTTACAGGTGCCGCTCTTCTCTTTTTTTGTTTTGCTCGTCCCCCGTTCAGCCCCTCTCACCCCCCACAGATTCATGCCGCCTCAGATTTAGTGGAGGGCTGGGCTCGTGGGAGGGGTTGTTCACCACTGGTCACCCTGATTGCATTGGGCTGTGGTGATTTTGAGGAGAAGTGCTTGGCTGATATGCAGTTTAATAAAAATAATAATAATTCGGTCGGGGGGGGGCGTCACAGATACTACAGACTGTTGGATTCAGGACCATGTGAGCATTTTGATATCATTTTTTTTAAATTCATATTTATTTGTTTGCAGAAGCTTATTTTACAATGTATAGCATACAGAGGCACCGCTGGAGGATTCGGTTTTTAATAACCACCCCTTACGTTTGCGAAGGCAGTAGCTGGCGTAAGTGTTGTCTGTGCTCTAGCAACCTTGATAGTCTGTTCTCCTTTTTGCAGCGAGCTGCCATGGGCTTTTCCTGTCCCGGCTCGAAGTGACATAGACGCGGTTCTCTTTCGGCCGTGGTTTTCCCCCGCGGTGACTGCCAGATCTTCGCACTGCAGCGCTGCAGTGACTGGGGCTGCATCGATCTCCGGCCCCTGGCCCCCGCTGTCCCTGTGCTCTGCGATCACTAGATACGTGTTCCCTCCGGGCCTGCAAGGCTCCCCCTGCTCACTTCACAAATAAGCCTGCACCCGCCCTCGTCATACATCCCGTATGCTGATTGGCTCACAAAAGCAGCGCCCCAGCCACCCTGGATTAATGTGTGAATTGCTGTAGTTTCCCAAAGAGAGAGAGGTTCCACCTGCCAGAGCGCCAACTCCCCCCCACCACCACCACCACCACCACCACCACCACCAGTGTTGACCTAGATGTCCCTCCCCAGTCATCCCTTTTTCCCAATGTACGGCAAAGCTGTATATAAAGAATAAGCAGTCGGAAGTCATGTGTTTACTGAATAACCCCAAGGCTTAAGGCGAATGCTTTACTATGGCTGGGCTGCTTGCAACGATCTGCGTCACTCTGTAGAGGGCGGTAGAGGGGGCGGAGGTGGGACAATTGGGCCATCTGATGGTGGAGGTGGAAGAGCCTCCTGTTCTGGTGGGGGTTCGAGGTCGACCTCCACTAGAGGTGCAGGAGGGTCAGGTTGGGTCTCTGTTTTTGGTGGAGTGGGCATTGCGTCGTCTTCAATAGGATCTTGTCCAAGGTTGTCTTCCCCCTTGGTCGAGGTATCCGGTGACGGGCTTTCAGGATCTGGCGTGGGCGTGGCCTCGAAAGGCTGTGCTTCTTCGCTAAGGACACTGCCGTTGCTGGGTGGGGACACGTCGTCCTGAGGCCTGCTGAAGGTGCTTCCCTGCACCAGTCCTTCCATGGGCACCTGTTCCTCCTCATCCTTGAGGAGAGACTCGCGTTTGGATGAGAGTCCGGATAGGAAGTTGGGCACCGAGATTCGCTTGTGTGGCTGCCTCTTGCCGCCATCATCGTCCTCGCCTAAAGGAATGTTAGACTGGATCTCACCATCCAGGAAGGGTGTGGGGCCGGCCCATGTGGTGTTGTACTTGTTCCTCTCCTGCCTGCGCTTCTTCCGCAACATGATGAACACGATTGCCCCAATCATGATTATTATTGCCCCTCCTATGATAGCACCCACTGTAGTGCCTGCACCACTAACGTTGTTTTCTTGAGTCGTACTGGATATTTCTTTAGTAGTCGCAGTGCTGGTCGAGGATACAGTCGTTGCAGTTAGTTTGGTGGTAGTTAAAGCGTTGTCCGTAGTAGTTGTACGCGTGGAAAAGGTGGTACGGCTTGGAGTTGACTTGACTGGAGTTTTATTGGTAACGGTGGTCTTGTCCCTTAATAAGGATGTTGTTGATTGGCTAAATGGACTTGATTTCTGATCTGATGTGGCACCAATTTTCGCTGTCGTCGCTCTCGTGCTGGTCGTGGTCATTCCGATAGTCTCCGTCAGAGTGACTTTTTTTCCCGAGGTAGTTGGCAGAGCCGATGTCTGACGGGGTCTTTGTGCGGTTGTTGTCAAAGTGGTTGCGTGGCCTGAGTCAAGACCAGCAGAATCCCGTTGTGGTCTGTGACTGGTTTTATGTTCTGTGGTAGATGAATGAGCAGCCTCCGCAGGTTCTGTTGATGGTTTACTGGACTGCAGCGAGGTGTCTCGCCGGGTTCTCGTGTTAGAGGCTACCATAGGAGAGGAGAGGGCATCTGGAACTTTGCTCTGAGTGTAGCTCGGTGTCGAAAATGCCAGTGCTGGACCCCCCACTGAAGTCAGCTCGGTTCCTGCGGCCGTGCGTTCCGCAGCGGACCGCCCCGCTTCTTCATTTCCTCTGGTCTCCAGGTTGGCATTACTTGTTTGTTTGGTCGCAGCCTCTGTGGTGAGGAGTGGGTGACCATCTGCCGACGGCGTCCAGAGAGCCACCAGCAACCAGAAGGTGATCATGCTGACGGGCCTTATCTTCAACTTCAGCGTGTCAACCAATCTGATTCATGAAAAACAAGATGGAGAGAGGTTGTTTCTGTCCGACATTTTTCGTGAAATGCCGGGCACGAGGGCTTCACAACAGCCAGCTTCTCTGTTTTGTCATCGGAAGTCGCAAGTTAGAGTTTCGACAGTAAGTGTTGCGCAACAGACTTAATGATTACCAGTGGCTCAGGAATAATATCAATGATTGATTTTGAGTTATTCTAAAAAAAAAAAACCACTTCCTGGGTGTGCAGTTTTTTTAGATTAATTTTGTGTTCTTCCTGGTTTCCTTAATTTGAATGTCAGACTAGTAAGTATACATGTGTGACCAAAGCAGTCAAACTGGGGTGTGACATGGTAATAGTTTTTTTCATTACCTAGTAGAAGGGGAACATAATGGTTTTTTATTTATTTTTTTTAAAGTCAGTTAAAATACACGTTCAGGTGCCATTGCATAAATTGCGGCGTCCCTAATCACTAATTTGGAAGCCACGTTACGAATTCGGAAACGCACACGGCTGCCATGACATTTGGGAAATAGCAAGGTGTTTGTCATCACTGTGGGCGTGTATAAAATCCTCCCGTAATGGGGGCTTTTTCTGATCTAAGGCGTCGAGGGAAGGTTCCGGTTTGCAGAAACTTTACCCCCCCCCGTGAGCTCTCAACCTCAAAGGATAAACCCGACTCTGGTCAAAAAGTTAACTGTCTGTGCTGCAGGTGTACGCTGAATTGCTAGCTTGGCCTCCTGTAACACGTTCTTCCTCGGGCAGGAGACGGACACAGACATCACTGACATTTCAAATGAGCGCAATAAGTCTCTCTGCGTGGAAGAGAAAAGCCTCTGACTTACCTCAGCAGATGCCCAGGTCACCATCGGGACATTTCTTCTGCTAATAAATGGTCCGTAACGGAACAGGGCTAGCGTTCTAACCCTGGTGTTCTCCGCAGTTGCTACTTAGGGGTGAGGCATGAGTGCGGTAAAATACGGAACCTGTTGCAGTTACTCCGGAGGCAGGAAGTGAGAGACTGAAGCAGCGCTGATGATTTGAGCCTCTCTTATCAGTATGATTAGTAACGGCAACCTGATGCTTGTGAAACATCTCCTTTTGTATTCTGAGGAGTGTGGAAATGCTGCCTTGAGTGCAGAACGCCTTAAACGATGCTGGCTGCCGCAATTTGACCGAATGGCATGTTGCAATAAGGTTGATGGGAGGAAAGTGCGCAGTGGTTACAAGGTCTGAGCTCGTTCTAGTCCCAGACGTCTTTGTTGGTCACTTGTAGCAGAGAAGTGTGGCTTGCTTTCGTGCATGGTAGGAAATGCGCCACAGTCGCGGCGGGGGGGGCTTGGGGGGGGCATTGCAGTAAACGCTTCCTATGGCACCTGAAGTGATCAAAATAAAAAGGAATGAAAGTTTTGCTTTTGCGTAATGATGGGGAGTTTGGTCTTGTCTGTTGTGGGCACTTAGCAGGATTAAACCGTCCCCAAATGCATGCAACTCTCCACTCGGTACCGCTTTTGGATTTGCAGTAACCCAGACACATATGCGGTTTCCGTTACTCGTCAGATGGCCATGAGCAATTAAGCAGGAATATTTTTGGAGCTTGCTGAAAGATCACAGAAACTCACAGAAGACACGTAAGCGAAAAACAATACTGAAAGTGATTTGGATCACATGAAATCACAATATATAAATATTAGTAAACATAACATTTGTTGTTGTGCATGCATACTATGTCTTTAATACTAAAAGTATTGCCATGCATCTTTGTCTCAGCAACCAGCCTCACTCACATTTTAATTGTGTTTTTGGCTGTGGAAACGTTTCTATGCTGTGAATTTTGCATTTTTCATGTCAGACTAGTTAGTATACATGTGTGACTGAAGCACGTGAGTCCAAAACCTAGTGCTCCCAGTGCGTACAGTAGTAATTTTGTAGATACAGGCCCATAATTTAGATGTTTTGTATATTATATAAAATACAGAGTAATTTGACTGTGTACAGTACTGGTTTAGTAATTGGTAATTGGCTTTTATGTTGTCGCTCATGCTAGCAGCCTGTTATGGCTTGACGTTATGGGTCAAGTATTATTTGCGAATTTTCATATTCGCGGGGTCTTCTGCCCCAAACCCTACGAATGTGAAGAGGTTCCTGTGTAGACATGGGCTACTGAGGGAGGGGGGCTTATCTGGTTATCTTCAGGTGGAGGAGTTTTGGATATGAAGATGATTTGTGTGCAGGAAAAACTGGATTATTGATGATGTTGGAGCCGGCCTGATCGACACGCACGGAGCTGCAGGGCAGGTCTTGTGTTCCAACCAGGTCTGGCTCATCGCTCAAAGCCGCGGGCTGGCAAATCCGTAAGGCCCGGACCGCCTGGCCACCACGAGAGGGCCGCACCGTGGACGATGGGATTCACAGGTTTGGGTGGAAGGCTTGTATATTTAAAAGGTCATTTAGAGAGAGGCACAGGAGCATTCCGTCGGCCCCCACCAGGAACCACGGGGGTTTGTGGGTGCTCTCGACGGCTGTTCTGCGCATCGCCCATTTCCAGCCGGAACATAAGAGGCGGAAGCATTTGCTGGATTTTCGTTCCAAACAAGATCGTTTATTAGTTTTTAAATCAGCAGGTCTTGGCAGATTACAAGGGGTTAAGAAGTGAAAGTCGTACCGTAAGCATGCCGGCAAATCTGTTAATCCAGCCTTAATCTAAGTCTTAGTCGCTCATTAGAGCCGATTTACTGTTTGTTCGTCGCACACCAATACATCGCTTTCTTTGCGAAGAGTACAGTTCTCATACCATTTTTTATATAAACAATTAAATAAGCGTTCAGCAAAAGCATAACATATACATATAAATCAAATATAAATCAAAAGTAACACACCATGTTATGAAATCCAATTCTATATAACTTTGCATCTGCAGTACACATCTATGCAGTACACATCTATACTTCAGTGCTTCCCAAGCTAGTCCATGTTTTTGCTCCCTCCCAGGTCCCAGTAGGGAAATGTGAACTGTCTGCTGGGGATCTCGGAGGGAGCAAAAACATGGACCGACTATGGGGTCCCTGAGGACCGGATTGAGGAACACTGCGCTTGTGTGAATAATGAGTAACAGCTTAAGCTTTTCACAGCAGGCAGATTACCGGATGTGGGGATAAGTGTCCTTCCCCTTTTATCTTTTCTCTAGTTTCACCTACAGGGGGCGCACACAGAAGCGGGCGTCTTGAATGCAGCATACTTGCTGCACTTTGCTAGATGGTGTCAGGCTGTTGGTGTATCCCACAGGTCCTACACGACCAGGAGAACATCTGTTACGTCATCAGCGGGCTCTGCCACATCAGCGGGCTCTGCCACATCAGCGGGCTCTGCCACATCAGCGGGGGGCTCTGGAAGCAAGGCCTCAGCCTGCCCAGGACTCTGGGCATCCCCGTTGGCAGGATCCACCTCAGTGGCGGTGGCGCCCTCCGCTTTATGCGCCTCTTCGGCGTTCCCTTCCCGCACGGTGTTGTCCGGCATGGTGTAGATCGTAGACAGCTCCACTGCCTGATCAGCCGGCAACCCGGCATCCCCGACGACATACCGGTCCTCCGTCACATCCGTCGGGATCTCGTTTCTGGTGATAGCCCAGTAGGACAGGCGGCGCCTGAGGCTGCAGATGCAGCAGGTCAGCACCATGTTGGAGACCAGCAGGCCAAATAAAACTGCACCTCCCCCCATCAGTGCAATCTTCCCATAATACTCGCTAATGGTATATATCGTGGATGGACAAGTTGTACAGTTATCTGGGTGGTTCTTTGAGGTGTTGGATGGAGTAGAAGTTTGGGATGTAGATGAGGTTGTGTTTCTCTCAGCGGTGCCGTTGATTGTGCTGCTGGTGGTGCTGCTGGTGGTGCTGCTGGTGGTGCTGCCTGCCTCATTCGTTGTGAAAACCAGTGGCGCAGCCATCAGCGCTATAAAGCCGACTGCAAGGTAGAACTTGGACGAGCCCATTGCTCTGCTGTGAAGAAAAGGAGAAAGGTAGTCGTCTTCTGCATGCAAATGATCATCATTAAAAGATCACCAGCCATAGAGGAAGTGCACGAGGACTAAAAATGTCCCTCACATGAGCTCATCTCTTGGGGGAAGGGGTTGTAACGGGCAGTCGCCTCGGTACGATAAGTTTGTCGAACATGCGATTTATACCACCTGCATGAGTACAAATGACCTGCGATCTTTACAGTGTCATTTCTCCACAAAGATTCCCTGAACTAGAGAGACTTCGTGTTGGGATTAAAGCATGCTGGCCTCTTGCTGGCTTTTGCATCTTAGTGTCTGGTTCTCTGAGGTGTCAATTGCGTGCTTGAATTAAACTAAAAACCCCATGTGGTTTGAACGGTGGCACGCATTGACGCGAGAGATGAATTGGGTAGTGACACAACTGTGAAATGACTCTGGTCTGATCAGGGCAGTGTAGTTCATAATCGCATTTGTAAGATGATTGTGAAGATAAAATTATTCGGGCTGTAAAACTACATCTAAAGCATTATAAGTAAAAATATCATTTCTACCAATAAAGTAAAATTGAGGCAGCAAACATAATAATTTCATATCTGAACAAATAAGTAATTGTCAGGTTTTTTTTTTTTTATTATAAGTAATTTCAAATAGTAACAAAATCAAATGTTGCAGCATCCATGCTCTAGTAGGTACACCAGTGTTGGTCCTCAGAGGTCGCTGAGGGACCTTCCTGTCTGGGAGTCTCGCAAAGGGTCACTCACCTGCAGGGTGACCTGGGAATGCGGTTTCTCTGGCCGGTCTGGTCACGGTCGAGTCCGGTGGGCCGGGAGGTATGGCTGCCTGGACTCTGGCGTGTGACAGCTGTGCTCTGAAGGTAAGCGGAGTATGAGGCACACGGATGGCAAGACTGCCGCTTGAGTCGTCAGGCGTGGCCAACAGGCTTCCTGTTCCCCCCCTAACGCCTGCGCTGGTTTTATTTGGGGGTGCTGTAATTCCTGCCACACATACGTCTGTCGCACGTCGTGTTAACAGAGTATGTTCTGTCTTTTGACAGAAAAAATTGAAAGCCGTTCGTCTTCTTGACAGATTATAACACTGAGGGTGATGTACTGTAACTTGAAGAAATTCATACCCCTGTCCGGTGGCGATTGTGCGTATCAATTAGCTATTTTCTAGCTTTGTTTTTGGTCTCACATGCATGACCTCTGTCTTATTCTGATACATTTGCTTATTGATTGACTATAAGCACCGGTAATATCTTGGAAGTTATGCAGAAGAGCTGGGCAAAGAGTTGGACATTGTGGAGCAAAAATCGAGCAGAGATTTTTGTAGCTCAGTTATTACATTAATTAATTTAATTTTTAACTAATGAATTATAAACATGTCGTGGGTCATGTAAACGAAATATTAATGAAATGCTGTGTTCCATTTTGAACCAATACGGGACGTGATTTGTCCTGTATTTCCAGACTGCCTGATTGATCCCCTCGATAACTAACAAAATGACTTTTTCCATCCTCCATGGTTTGGGCGGGAGAGGGTGTAGTTCCATTTGAAATTATGTGTTACAGGACAATATATGTTCCGCTGTTACTGTCGGGGGATAAAAAAAACTCATCTGCTTCCTGTGGTTTTGACATGAAAAGTGACCACACGGTCGCGTCTCTGTTCATCTTCTCCTATATGCCCTTATAAATGCATAATCTATAAGCTTGTTCTCTATATTGATTATTTAGAAATGAAAATGAATGAAAATGCTATTAAATAAAGTCTTATTTAAAAGTGAAAATTCAAAATGACAGGTAGTAATAGATTATGATTGAATTTTTACGACCCTGTCTGTCTAAATGTCGGTAAATGAGGAAGTCAAATGTAACGTCTGGTCACACGCAAAGTGAACGGGGAGGGTGAACGGACTCAAAGGACACCGAGAGAGTTATAGGTCAGGTTGGGGCAGGTTGACTGAATTCTTCTGATGCTTGCCCCCCCCTCCCAGGTTCAAAACTGGTCAAATCAATGGCGACCTGCTCATCTACCACGTCCTGCTGACGCTGAAGCCTTACTACGCCAAACCGTACGAGATCGTGGTTGACCTAACCCACGTCGGGCCCAGCAATCGCTTCAAAACCGACTTCCTGTCCAAGTGGTTCGTTGTCTTCCCGGGCTTCGCCTACGAGAATGTGGCCGCTGTCTACGTCTACAACTGCAACTCGTGGGTGCGAGAGTACACCAAGTATCACGAGCGTCTGCTCACCGGCCTCAAGGGAAGCAAGAAGCTGCTCTTCATCGACTCGCCGGCGCGACTGGCTGAGCACGTCGAGCCCGACCAGCAGAAGCTGCCAGCCGCCACCCTGGCCTTGGAGGAAGATCTCAAGGTGTTCCACAATGCCCTCAAGCTGGCCCACAAGGACACAAAGGTCTCCATTAAGGTGAGAGTGAGGACTAAGGCTGCACTAACATTTACATATATAGCAGATGCTTTTGTCGGAAGTGTGTCTTTGCCAGCATGATCGTTTGCAATGTCCAGTTTGTTTCACTGGTACGTCAACTAGTCATAACTGCAGTTAAGCTGAGCTTCCGGTGAATGCAAAGGTACTACTGTAACCATTTTTGCCCAAGACTGCGGCATGCGACATTTTATTTGGCACACTGGGTCAGACATGTGGTGCAATATATGTACGTCTGGAATATGCAGCGCACTGCATAAGATTTTTATGTTTACTGGTACATCTAGTAACAATCAACAGAATTAAACATCAGCAGTCAATACCAATGGCCCTCAGATGGAGACACTCTAGCCCGTGCAGGGACGATTCTAGGATAAGATGGGGGGACATATTAAGGACCATCCTTATCATTAGCCAGTGATATGTTTTGAATAAATGAGTGACAGGGGAGAGGGAAGTCCAGAGGCCAATCAGCTTATGACTGGGGCCAGTGCCCCTGTGGCCCCGCCCCTGCATATACCCCTGAACCAGTGGGTTAGAGTTGTAGTCTGGACTTTGATAATGAAGGGTTCCATTTCCCTTTACTTTAAATACTTTATTTCAGCACTGTATCTTAACCTTAATATGAATGGCAAAGCTGTAAGAACATGCATTACATCTGCAGCTCTTAAAGTGCAGCATGGTTTTTTTTCTTGTGACTTTTGTCAAGCAAACAGACATGGTCTGATGATGTTGGGTTGCTGCCCGACTGCTCCTTGTTCTTGTTTGCCGCGTCGCAGGTGGGTTCTACAGCGGTCCAGGTGACCTCGGCGGAACGCACCCGGGTGCTGGGCCAGTCCGTCTTCCTCAACGACATCTACTACGCGTCCGAGGTGGAGGAGATCTGCCTGGTGGATGAGAACCAGTTCACGCTGACCATCGCCAACCAGGGCACGCCGCTCACATTCATGCACCAGGAGTGCGAGGCCATCGTCCAGTCGATCATCCACATCCGCACGCGCTGGGAGCTCTCGCAGCCCGACTCTATCCCTCAGCATACCAAAATCCGGCCCAAGGACGTGCCCGGCACCCTGCTCAACATCGCCCTGCTCAATCTGGGCAGCTCCGACCCAAGCCTGAGGTCAGCCACCTTCTGGGCCTCCATGTCCTCAGCTTACTGCTCGAGTGTTGAGGGTCGGCATGGCAATCAACAGTCATGACTTAGAGCATTGGTCACCAGCCCTGCTGCTGGAGATCTACCACCCTGCAGCCCTCATTTAACAAACCTGATACAGATAATGCACCCCTTCATGTTTCTCCTTGCAGTTTACCTAGCTCCATGAAAATGTAGCCTCACCATTAAGACTTTAAGGTCCTGTGGGTGGGGCTGTTTCTATCTGTAGACTACTGGCAGATGTCAGATTTTTAGCCAGGCCTGCCCTGTGTTTTAGACTCTGAGTTTTATGTAAAGCCTCCCCCTGTAGATGCTGTTGCACCATGGTTCTGGATGAGCAATGTTTTGTGTCACTGCGTACCTGTATATGGATGGTATGGCAAAGCCCCCTTTACTTGACTCTGACTTTGACTCGGACTTGTCGTGACTCGTCGCAGGTCTGCAGCCTACAACCTGCTCTGTGCCCTGACCTGCACCTTCAACTTGAAGATCGAGGGCCAGCTGCTGGAGACGTCGGGGCTGTGCATCCCCGCCAACAACACGCTCTTCATCGTCTCCATCAGCAAGACGTTGGCGGCTAACGAGCCCCACCTCACGCTGGAGTTCCTGGAGGAGTGCATCTCTGGCTTCAGCAAGTCCAGTCAGTATACCGCTTAGGTCTTCCGCTCTGTACTCGTCTGCGACAACGTCCATATTGACTTTGCGTCGTCAAATGAATCGAATCCCCGGTCTTGTTCAAAATAGTTAACCCAAAACACTCATAAACAGATATAGCATCATGTTTTAAATAAGACACTAAACAAAAGCATCTCTGTGTAATGGTTAAAATTAGTGCCTCGTTAGCTAATGTGGTGCACTTCACGTGGGGCTAAGAAGGCCTGGAGGAAGGAGACATGAAATGTAGTGATTCTTCACTCCGTTTCTGCTCTCTTCCTGAGACTTCCTGGGTGCGATGGCTGACCCTGTGCGCCCCCTGCAGGTATAGAGCTGAAACACCTGTGTCTGGAGTACATGACGCCCTGGCTGCTGAACCTGGTGCGCTTCTGCAAGCACAACGACGACGCCAAGCGACAGCGGGTGACGGCCATCTTGGATAAGCTCATCACCATGACCATCAACGAGAAGCAGATGTACCCTTCCATCCAGGCCAAAATTTGGGGCAGCCTGGGGCAGGTGGGTCCAGAGTCTGGTCCTCCTCCATGTTATCACAGTAGATCGAAAGCCTGGCAGAAGCATTTTTTCCCCTCTATGGTGCGCTTGAGCTTAATTTGTCTCTTGCTTAGCTGTTGAATGGGAAGTGAAATTTCGTATTGTAACACCAATGCGGATCGGCAACTGCTTGCGTGTCCCGGGGGGGTCCAGATGTGCGCAGTGAAGGTGCTTTTAGGTGTCTGCACGTAGACCTAAAAAAGTGAGATGAAACTGCCAGAAAGTCCCTTTCTGTACTCTTTCTGCTTTTTACTTTTTTTGAGAAAATTGAAAGTATACTAAAAGCATATGACCTCCTCCCCCCCCCCCCCCCCCCCCCCCCCAAAGATAACAGACCTCCTGGATGTGGTGCTAGACAGCTTCATCAAAACTAGCGCCACTGGAGGCCTGGGGTCCGTCAAGGCCGAGGTGATGGCCGACACAGCGGTGGCGCTGGCTTCCGGCAACGTCAAGCTGGTGTCCAGCAAGGTGAGCCCGAGCCTTTGAGGAACTTTCTGGAAAAGCCAGTTACCCGTTGGCCAAAGGTCGCACAGGCTGAAGTCGGTTGCCTGTCCTCGGGTCTGTTGCTCTCCCTCTGCCGCCCCACAGACGGGCCCAGTTTGGCGAGTAGCGGGTAGGTTACGCTGGAGTGGCAGTCATGTGACTGGGGCTTGGGGGTAGTCTGCATGAAACGTCACACTGGTCACTGCGTTCTTTATTTCTAAATGCTTCGGGGAGGTTGGTGCAACACCAGCTGAAGTGTGCAGTGCCAATGGGTGGGGGGAGGGGCGGTACCTGTGGCTGGTCAGGAACAAGAAACTCCTTTGTGTGGTCCTCACAGACCTACTGTCTACACAGGGAAGCACGGCAAATATTTTCTTTTTTAATTTAATGCATGTTTTTAGCAAAGCTTCCTTCAGTATTTGCTCTTGTGGTGTGTGTCTGATCTTGCCGAAAGAACAAAAGCATCAGGCCGAAACATGCCCTATCAGAGACATGCTCCGCGTTTATATATAGAGGTGTTTCAGATATTTGGTGTCAGTAGAACGTGCTGGATAAGATTAAAAAAAAAAAAAGCAAGCGAACGATACCACAGACAGCACTTTGGTCTGTTATATTTATATGTCTGCTCACTTTTTTTTCTTATATGGTTGACAGTTGTGTTGAAACCTGAACATGCACTGCAGGGTGGAATTATTATGTTTGCCGGTTGCTGGACTTTTCGCTGGCTGCTGATGTCTGGCGTGTTCCACCTCTGACCCGAATGCCCTCTGAACTCGCAGGTGATCAGTCGGATGTGCAAGATCATCGACAAGACCTGCCTGTCGCCCACGCCGACGCTGGTGCAGCACCTGATGTGGGATGACATCGCCATCCTGGCGCGCTATATGCTCATGCTCTCCTTCCACAACTCGCTGGACGTGGCCACGCACCTGCCCTACCTCTTCCACGTGGTCACCCTGCTGGTGGCTACGGGCCCCCTCTCGCTGCGCGCCTCCACCCACGGCCTGGTCATCAACATCATCCACTCACTCTGTACCTGCTCACAGCTCAACTTCAGCGGTGAGGCTGTGCTCTCTGTATGCATGGGTTGGCGTATTTTTGTCTCTCCCCATCTCCCTTTGACTAGCCCTCCCTCTCTCTCTGTCTGTCTGTCTGTCTGTCTGTCTGTCTGTCTGTCTGTCTGTCTCTCTCTCTCCCTCTGTGCCCCTTCTCTTTCTGCCCTCCATCTCTCTCTCTGACTGGCCCCCCTCCCTCTCGCTCTCCCTTACTCTGTGGGTGCCCGCCCATGATCCCCTCTGTCTCTCTCTCTGTATATCTGTGCACCCTTGCCACCGTGTGCCCCCCTGCCACGCGGCCCCCTCTCTGCGTGGCTGACTGTCTGTGTGCGTATGAAGAGCAGCCGTGAGAAACGCCTTGATCTCTCCTCTGACTTTGGCCGGTTCTGCGTTCCGTCTCCTATGTCCCTCCATAGAGGAAACCAAGCAGGTTCTGCGCCTGAGTCTGACCGAGTTCTCGCTGCCCAAGTTCTACCTGCTCTTCGGCATCAGCAAGGTGAAGTCGGCCGCTGTCATCGCCTTCCGCTCCAGCTACCGCGACCGCTCCTTCTCCCCCGGCTCCTACGAACGGGAGACCTTCGCCCTGTCGTCCCTGGAGACAGTCACCGAGGCCCTGCTGGAGATCATGGAGGTTTGGAGTTTGCTGAAGCGTCGGGCAGAAATAGGCTTCCGGAGAACTTTCTGGAACATGGTGGCATTTAAATGAGCTCTCTCATAGTTGACTTCACACACACACAAAACACCCTGAACCCAGAATTTTATTTTCTTTGCCTGTGACTTGTTTCCTCTGTGTTCTGTATCAAATGAGGTTCCCCTTGCCTGACTGGCAAAATTGTTTTCCATCCCATTTTGCTCTGTGTGTCTGTAGGAGAGAGAGAATATGGCTGATATTTTTTTTCCCCTCTCCAGGCCTGTATGAGGGACATTCCTTCGTGCAAGTGGCTTGACCAGTGGACGGAGCTTGCACAAAAGTGAGTCCTTGCTGCTCCTCTTGTGATGCCACACAGCAGCGTGAAAATGGCCTCTGTCACGTTAATATATTGTCCCCATTTACATTTGCCCGCAGCTTGTGATTGACTGGATTGATTGTCCCATTCATCCTGTCATTCGATATAAGGAGTAGCACATGTGGAGCCCTGTAGGGGGCGTGCCGTTTTAACACAGGTCCCTTCTTTCTGGTTGCCTGCGCAGGTTTGCGTTCCAGTACAACCCGTCGCTGCAGCCGAGGGCCCTGGTGGTGTTTGGCTGCATCAGCAAGCGCGTGTCGCACGGGCAGATCAAGCAGATCATCCGCATCCTGAGCAAGGCCAGCCCCCTGCTCAGCATCGACCGCGTGCGTATTCACCCAAAACATGGCACCACTCGCTCCTGCCACTACAGCCACGCCAGCTTCCTTTTGTATGTGACCGTTCTAGTTTTGGATGGTCACCCAACTTGGGTAGCAGCTGCTGAAATTCATGCTAATCCGGCTATAAGCTGGAATAGAAACAGGAAGTGACATCAAGAGAGGAAATTGATACAGGAAATGATGTCGTACAGAGCAAAAAAAAAGAAAGCATCAGTTTTACAAAGTACGGTTCTGTCGTCATGGTGGTTATATCTTTGTGTATCCATTCCTGTTCCCTGGATGGCTACAGTCTGCTTTAGTGGCTTTATGAACTTCACCAGCCAGTGGGTGTGACTGTGAGCGCCCCCTGCTGCCATCCTGGGCTGTTTTTACCAGCTTTAACCTTAAACGTCGCTCTGCGCCGGTTCCAGTGGCCCGCGCAACCTGATGAGCCGACCCGTTTTCTCCGCAGGGCCTGGAGAGCTGTCTGAAGGGGCCGGATAATTACAACAGTCAGGTTCTGATAGAGGCTACAGTCATAGCGCTGACCAAACTGCAGCCCCTTCTCAGTAAGGTAATGCACCCCCAATGTTTACTGTGTCTTTCTGTACTCGCCGGTAGGTTTTCATCTGGCCGTTGTGAACATCTCGACCTCGAAGCCCCCCCCCCCGGATGTGTTCACGGACCCCGACACCAATAATATATCTTTATGGCCATCGCTAATAATTGGGCTCCCTGGCAAAATGTCACCTTGGGCCCCCACCTGGGTTAGCGCTTCCAGTCTGTAGTGTATCTGCCAGGGTGCCCGTGCCTTCTTGATGCCGCTGACCGTAGACATCAGGGTTGGGGCCATTCCGGAATGCATTGATCGATTCCAGTCCAAATCAGGAAATGGAACTGGAGCTGGGATTGGGAAAAAAACTACAGGGAACAGAATTGGAGTTGAATTTGAATTTCAGGGAGAGTTAAGTTCCAACTCCAGTTCCATTTCCTGATTTGGACTGGAATTGATCAATGCGTTCCGGAATGGCCCCAACCCTGGTAGACGTCATAGGGACCCAGCAGAGTTGACAGCATTCCAATCAGGCTCTGCTTAGGTGACTCTTGTCTAGAGATACTGAAATAAACTTGAAAAAAATAAATGGCTCAGTTGAGAAAATAAGCAGGATGGTCGACAGTAACGGGCCGACCTGAATCTGAGGGATCGTTGGTGAATTCATCTGCCCTGTAATTAGCTGTAGTGTGTGTGTGTGTGTGTGAGTGTGTGAGTGAGTGTGTGAGTGAGTGTGTGAGTGAGTGAGTGAGTGAGTGAGTGAGTCCCATCCCGGTCTCACCCACACCTGTCCCCAGGACTCCCCCATGCACAAGGCCCTGTTCTGGGTGGCTGTGGCCGTACTGCAGCTAGATGAGGTGAATCTGTACTCGGCCGGGACGGCACTGCTGGAGCAGAACCTGCAGACCCTGGACAACCTGCGGGTCTTCAACGACAAGGTACACACACACACGTTTGTGTTCGTATCTTTGTGGGGACTCCTCCATTCATTTCTATGGGCAAAACCCTAATCCCAACAATGACGACCTTAACTGCAACCCAGCCCTGACCTTAACCATAAGTAGCCAAACAAAATACAAGACTTTTGCCATTTGTCTGAGTACAGACAAATAGTCAGAGATATTTATAAAATTGACATTTATATTGTGGGCACCTGAAAAATGTGTTTTAAATATACTCACATTGCGGTAAATGCAAAGCCACTCGGGCGCGCGTCAGACACAGGTCATGGGGGACGCAGGTCTTACATTTTATACCTTTTATTTATTTATAATACGTGTTTAGCGACGCGCAGTCGAGACAGGAGGCTCAGCCAGCGCCCCGAGCAATTGAGGTTAGGGGCCTCGCAGCAGATTCACTCTGCTGACGACGGGATTTGAACCAGCGACCTTACAGCCACAGGCACAGCGTCCTAACCTGCAGAATCACACAGCGGCGAGGGGCTGCAACTGCACAGAATCATGCACGGCACGCAGATGCATGCCGATGCATGCAGATGGACTCGTAAGCCTGAGGTCATTCTCAGCGGGGTCGAATCCTGAGACTCCATAGGAGCTGCACCCTCAAGCCGTCAGTCAGATGTAGTGAAAACCCCAGCGACACTCGATCCTACTCATTCACCATGCTCTTTATTGAGTGATGTTGAAACTGATGACGATTGTGGCTGAGTTCTCAGGTTTGTATTTCACTGCAGGGTACAGTTTTGACTGTATACCCTCGCACGCAACAAATAAAACTTTGAATCGCTTGCAGAAAATAATATATCATTTGCTCATGATTGTCATCGTTCTAGGGTCAAGGGAGGGTTGAGTCACATCGGTGACGTCCTGGTGTGTCCCCTTGACAACAGAGCTGGGAATTTTAACGTAGCATTTGGGAGACGTGATCTAGCCAATACGCTTGTTTACTTGGCCAAGATTCCAAAAAATCACTCGTTCATTAATCTGTCCATCGATCTGGTTTTTATTTGCCCCGAAGTCCTGCTCAGATTTTGATGGATGGTTTGGGTTGGTTTGGTTTGGTTTGGTTTGGGTTGGGTTGGGTTGATCTGACCTTTTTCCGGTTACATGTCCTCTGGGACTCTGACACATACAGGAGCTCCTGTGCACTGGTGGCTGTACACATTATGGCCTGAAACGAGGATGGGGGGGGAATAAATATAGATATACAATGGCAGGATTTACAGTAATGACACCAATCATGCGAGAGCAGGAAATGTCCTTCCGGTACCAGTGGAGCAGTGAAGCGTTTCTGCTTTAACTGCAAATAGATCATTTAAATGTTTTTTTTTTTTTAAATCAACTGTTAAATCATGTCAGGTAAAATATCAGGATGCATTTGCCGTTCAGGGTTTTTTTCTTTCTATACCTGCTGCAGATACCCAGATGGTAGGGTGTCCGTTTTTAAGACCAGACGTTAACTGCTGAGCCAGGAACTTGGCGTCTAACTGGCCGTCTCCTCTCTGATGCATGTCCGGATGCGTAGCAATGGAAAACATGCATCCCCGGGGTAAACTACGTGTCTCAGTGCTCCCTCCTGCCCCACAGAGCCCAGAGGAGGTCTTCATGGAGATCCGAAAGCCTCTGGAATGGCACTGCAAACAGATGGACCATTTTGTGGGCCTCAACTTCAACTCTAACTTCAATTTTGCACTAGTGGGACACCTGCTGAAAGGTGAGAGAGGGAGGAGAGGGCGGTCTCATGTCTGAAGTGTGTGTGTGTGTGTGTGTGTGTGTGTGTGTGTGTGGGGGGGGGGTGTTTCTGTGTGGGTGTCCCACCTGTAGAATTTTGGAGGGGGGGTTCCTATTACTAATCTGGAAATCCCCATGACGGTCGCTTTTCCCATATCGTGGAGTTGACCGCGCTATCGCCCATGTGCCCCAACTTTACGTGCCGCTTGCAGGTTACCGCCACCCGTCCCCGACCACAGTGGCGCGGACCGTACGCATCCTCCACGTGCTGCTGGCCCTGGTGGGGAAGCACCTGAACTGTGACAAGTTTGAGGTGAACACACAGAGCGTGGCCTACCTTGCGGGTGAGTGGCGGCGGGCCTGGGGGACTACAGATCCATTAGCTGCAGTAACGGCGCCCTCTGGTGGTGGTGCTTCTTCTAGCTGTCAGCAAGCTCAGTTCTGCTAGACTTTAATAATAACTGTATTTAACTGTATTTGACTCTCCCTGCCGGCCCCTGGAGGATGGGCTCCCCCTTTGAGTCTGGTCCCTCCCAAGGTTTCTTCCTTCTGGGGAGTTTTTCCTTGCCTCTGTCGCCTATGGCTTACTCACTGGGGGCTTTGGGTGGGGATGCTGTAAAGCGCTTTGGGACAATGTCATGTTGTGATAATGCGCTATACAAAAATAAATTTGTTGTTGTTGTAATTCAGCGGTCAACTTTTTGTTTTTGTCAGCTTACCCACAATGTGTTTTTTTTTTATAACCAGCTGAGCTTGATCGCTGTTTAAACATTGCTAAAGATGTATTGTTAACCTTTTTTAAAATGTATGTAGAGATGCTGATTCTCTTTCTTAAAACGTCTTGGGGGCGGCTTGTATGTTCTTTTTTTGTTTGTTTGTTTTTTTTGTCATTGCTGGCTGGCTTTCCTCCTGAGCCCCATATCGCCCCCCCCCCCCGTCTGACAGCTCTGCTCACCGTCTCGGAGGAAGTACGCAGCCGCTGCAGCCTGAAGCACAGGAAGTCGTTGTTGCTTTCGGAGGTTGCCATGGAGAATGTTCCCATGGATACGTACTCGGTGCCCCGGAGCGACTCTGCCTGCAGGTGAGCTCATCTCTCCCCCAGTGGGGTTTTTTCCGCTTTTTTTTTTTCTCGGTGTTCTGGCGGCAGCAGTAACGAATCAGCAGGGCTGATTAATGATCTTTTTTCTAGCATAATATTAACCGCGCCCCCCCCACCAACAGTAATGCAGATGTTCTTTTTTAAACAACATACACTCACAGCTCCCTACTCCTACCCAATAACTGGAATACGCAAGATGAAGGAACTGTCCTCATGCAGAAATTAAACCTTGCCATGGATTTCACTCTAAGTGCTTTATCCCTGGGGTGGTCGTGGTGGCCCCATGAGAAGCACTGCTGTCTCCCACCGGCAGTGTAGGGTGTTTGAATCCCACCTCCGCTCTCTTTGTGGAGTTCCCGTGTTCTCCTCGTGCAGTGGTTTTCTCTCGCAGTCCAAATCCATGCAGTTAGGCTAAGTAACCTTCCTAAATTGCCCGTAGTGTGTGATTGCATGTGCGAACGCATTGCCCTTTGATACATCCCATCCATGGTGTCTCCTTGCCATGTGCCCTGTTACGCTTCCAGTAGCCATGGCCATTATTAAATAGTGGCGGATGGATAGATGGATGACTGCTGATCCTATAGTCCAGACCTCATCCTTTTCCCGCCTCTTCTCCCAGGACCCTCCGGGAGAGCCAGCTGTGGGCATCTCCAAAGGTGTCGGACCGCTACCTGGCTGCCAGCTACCCCACCATGGGCCAGATCAGTCCCCGCACTCGCAAGTCGATGAGCCTGGACATGGGGCAGCCTTCACAGGCTAACACCAAGAAGCTGCTAGGTGAGGCCCCACCTGACCACACCATCTGCTGGAGCTTTAGTTCCAGGGTCGGCCTGGCATTCAGCCCATGCTTCATCGCGGTTCCGGCAGCTTCTTCGCTATGAACTTGTACCCTTCTGACCACACGTTTACTCCCTGTCAGCACCAACTGAGGTTTGAGGTTCAAGGCTTGTTCATCTCGGTCCCCCTACCTGATGGTGGTGCACAATACCCAACACCGCGCCCTTTGTGTTTCAGGCACGAGGAAGAGCTTCGACCACTTAATATCTGACACTAAGGCCCCGAAACGGCCAGAGATGGAGTCCGGGGTCACCACGCCCCCCAAGATGAGAAGGGTGGCTGAGAATGACTACGAAATAGGTGAGTGGTCTTGTTGGTCACCTGTTCATGGATCACCTGTACATCAAGGGCGCCCTGACCTTCGACTCCCATCCCACCCTTTATAGAGACCCAAAGAATAGCCAACCCCCAACACCCCCACCTGCGCAAGGTGTCTGTGTCGGAGTCCAATGTGCTGTTGGACGAGGAGGTGCTGACAGACCCCAAGATCCAGGCGCTACTTCTCACAGTCCTGGTGAGAGAGGCGACCATGGTCTGCCCCCCCATCCGCCGGCTCTGCTGGTCTCTCGTTCTCCCTTCCGTGGTTCCGTTAGCATTCAGGCTCATGCACGTACCCTCTAGCTGTTCTGATGCTTTTATAAAACCTGGATTATGTCCCATTAAATCCTTCATGAGCAATGTCTACCTCTTCATCTGCTTTATGCAACTAGCTGGTGGAAGGTGAACTTCTTGTAGGTCATCTGAGTTCCCTTTCTCTTCCAGGCCACCCTGGTGAAATACACTACGGACGAGTTTGACCAGCGGATCCTGTATGAGTATCTGGCCGAGGCTAGTGTCGTCTTCCCGAAGGTCTTTCCTGTTGTGTAAGTGTCTCTGCGGAAAATCCGACAGATACGAGTGAACACGTAATTCGACAATGGATACAGGAAAGACAAAGGTCAAAGGTCAGCTACCGATAAGCAGTAGATGTTTGACTTGCGTGTTCCCCCCCCCCCCCCCCAGCCACAACCTCCTAGACTCGAAGATCAGCACCCTCCTGTCGCTATGTCAGGACCCCAACCTGCTAAACCCCATCCACGGCATTGTGCAGAGCGTGGTATACCACGAGGAGTCACCCCCCCAGTACCAGCCGTCCTACCTGCAGAGTAAAGCCCGCCGCCTTAGATGCAGACACAGTCCATGTCTGACATTCATGATGCCTTACGATTGTCATTCATCTGCCAATTGTAAATTTCCAAAACTCGCTCAGTCCGCGGGACACGTTTTAGAGAGAATCTCTACGGACTTAGTGAGATTCGTAAATCTAACGAAAATTCTTCCCAATACTGTAACATATGAGGACGCCTCATCATCTCATCTCAATTACAAAAAATGGGCTGAGGTTGCAAATTTACTCTTCAATTGATGATGAGGATACCATCCTCATCATCATCATCATCATCATCATCATGGTGCATGGCTGAACACACCCAGGGACTGAATCTTTGTGTTCCCTGGAGTGTCACTGAGATGTCCAGTTACCTAGAATATTCTCTGACAATTCTCTCTCTCTCTCTCTCTCTCTCTCCTCTCTCTCTCAGGCTTTGGTTTCAATGGACTGTGGAGGTTTGCTGGTCCATTCTCAAAGGTAACCTTTTATTATGTTTTTATTTCTTATTCCTTTGTAGTGTATAATGTTCACTAGTCTGAGTTACTAGCGGACAAACTATGGCAGAGCGACCCCACAGTTTGTGGCAGTTGTGATGACGCTTATGGTGTTTGAAACGTCGCCTTACTTTCATCCATCTGACAGACCATGCAGTCCGACAGCCTCGCATTTGAATAAATAAAAGTAACCATTCTGTCCTAATGCTCAGTGCAAGTCGATGGAGCCGTGCATTCAGGCCTGTCGGCTATCAACAAAGGAGTTGGTCAGACTATATGCCCCCCCCCCCCACCCCCATGACAGCAAACCCAGATCCCGGACTATGCAGAGCTGATCGTGAAGTTCCTGGACGCTCTGATCGACACCTACCTGCCGGGGGTGGATGAGGACACCAGCGAGGAGTCTCTGCGGACGCCCACTTCTCCCTACCCGCCGCCCGTCCAGAGCCAGCTCAGCATCACTGCTAACCTCAACCTTTCCAACTCCATGACCTCGCTGGCCACCTCCCAGCATTCCCCGGGTGAGCTGGCGTGTGCCGCCTCCTTCCGCCTCTCGGCCCTGCGGCTCCAGGGTCACGCGCTCGCTGCACACCTACCTCACATCTACCTCACATCTACCTCACACTGCCTCACATCTACCTCACATCTACCTCTCTTCGGCCCAATTTTGGTGAAATAACCGCCAAATCTCCAGTTCACAAATATGCCACAGGTAGTAAGCCCCCCCCCCCAGCTAATAAGTTAACACCCCCCAGCATAAGCCTGTACCTTTACCAGACAACTCAGTGCAGCTCTTCATCATGGGAAATATGCTTAGCTTACAAGAAGAAACCCGTGAGCGATTGTGAAGTAGAGACTAGTTGTCGGTTTCACTTTAAAGCACTGCAGGTGTGACCTCAGGCTGAATCGCTATCAAACCACATCCCCCTAGTGGCAGGTTTTTTTCAGTCACTGCGCTGGTGTGTTGAGAAATGCATGATCTCTGTATTCGCTTCATTCAGGCTTAGGGCACCACGTGTATGTACGTGTGTGTATGTATATATATATGTAACGAGCCTAAATTTATATGTACGCCTGCATGTTTATATGCGCACGCACGAAGACAGAAAACTCTCTCTGCTGTGAACCTCTTTCTCTATTGTGCTGTTTGTTGCCATAAATACATTTCAGTACCCTTTCACTGAACCATCCTTCCCATTTTCTGTTTGTTTTCAACATGCCTGCCTGTGCCGGGCATGTAGTTTATAGACGCTCCCCGACTTTGTCCCATATGAGGTCCTCCGAAGTGGTTCAGCCAAGAATTCCTGGTACAAATAAGAGCTATAGAGCTGTACTGGGCAACTAATGTCCAAGCCTATAGTTTATAAAAGTGGTAACTCTTCACTTTATTTTTTCCCTGTTTTGTTACTGTAATTCTTTAAGTTTTGCACTCTGCCTGTGATAACATTATCAAGGAAAGGCAGTCTGTTATTGATACCTATCTAGGCTGTGTAAATAAGAATGTATTAGCCAATATCATTTTTTTCCCTAATTTTGTCGTGCCCAGTGATTTGAATTTTATATTAATTCATAGTTTCCTCCATAGTTTTAGTCCTTAGACTTTCTTTACTGCTGCATTCTCATAGTTTTTCTTTTCTGTTTAGTTCATTTCGTTCTCTCCCATGTTAGCTCAGGTTGTTTTTTTTTCCTTTTGGTTGCCATGGCTACTCATCGCTGTTTCTTTTCTGCTCTCTCACCTGTGAAGCCTCACTGTCTTGCTCTAAGTCAGCCGTTTTCACGTCGCCCCTCGTCAGCCCAGGTACTACGACCCAGAAACGCACCCCCCCCCCCCGAACCACCCCGTCCCACATCCCATCATGCTCTGCGATGCCTTGCACAGCGCGCCCTGACGCTTGAAGCGTACAGCTGTAGGTGTAGCCTGGGCAGCTCTGAAGCTCTCCAAGCACGTGATCTCCTCCAGAAATGTGCGATAATGTCTCGCTTCTGGCCGCGGTGCTGTTTTTCACCTTTGAGCGGCTCATGGCTAGGTCCTGGGGCTATCTGTGCAGGAGCTGCAGATTTTGTATGTGCACGGTTACATAGCAGTTTGGAAGATGCAGATGCCCCTGAACGGTTTGATCTGCTCTTGTAATGAGCTTTAATGTATATATCAGAAGGGCTTTTACAATGAGATGGAGAAATAAGGACAGCATGAAAAGTTGAAATTAAAAGTTCGCTGTTAGGCACTTGCTCCCCCTAGTGGTGATCGTGCGTCTCATCACCAGGCAAGGCACTGCTTGCTTTTACCATTAAACCTGCTTTGAAAATTACAGCCACTTAACCTGACTAGATATATAAGGATTATTTCAAATGTAGCTTTGAAATAATTGTGAATAAGTAATATTAACAGTATTAACAGTTTAGTGCTTAAAAATCAGCGATTTAACTGATTTTTTTTTTATAGTATGTACTCACGTTGCCCCTGAAACGCAAGATGGCGTGACGACCTCTGATCCGGAGTTCGGTGTGAATTTACGCGGACCACCTCTTCCTGTTTCCGTCCCCCCTTAGGTATCGACAAGGAGAACGTGGAGCTCTCCCCCACAACGGGCCACGCCAACAGCGGGCGCACGCGCCACGGGTCGGCCAGCCAGGTGCAGAAACAGCGCAGTGCCGGCAGCTTCAAGAGGCCCAGTATCAAGAAGATTGTGT